CATCAGGACAAATAAAAAGAACAGATTTGTGTAAACAAGAAAAATACTGTAGTTTATACCAAATTTCATAAAAACTAGTACAACTGATATATTCAGGCATTTTTTTCTAAATATTATGTAGTCTTCAATTTCTTTAAAGGCAATTCTGATGGATTTGAGAGAAAGAAGTTAGATTATTTAAGAAAACAACAGGCTAGCAGCTAACATCTTTTAATTTTTTATATCTGTATTGATCACATATTTACATACAACTTGATTTCTGTTGTGAGTATACAAACTCCCCAAAAATTATTATGTTTGGTCATATTTCAAAGAGCCACTGCAGAGAGGCCAAAAAGCCACATGTGGCCCCAGAGCCGCTGGTTGCAGACCCCTGACCCTAGGAGAATCACGTCCAAATCAGTGAGCGTGTTGCTCTTGTTTCCATGCAATGCATTAAAGTTACACTGAAATCAAACATTTAAACAGGTCAACCCCAACTATATCACATGGTACGTTTCCAGTGAGTTTACTCCAATTGTTTTCCAGATATATTGATGCGCAGTTCTTAAATGCAGGCACTCACTCAATGTAAACAAAGCCTTTTTAGCTGAATATTTTAAAGTGCCTGTAAGAAATATTACCACTTTGAAAGATAACATTGATAACATATTGGGAAAGAAAATTCATGCCACTGAAATGAACAGTTTTTGAGATATTTGCATGTGAAAATAACAGGAAGTGATGTCAAAGGGGAATGTCTGCAAACAGATTATTGCTACAACGGCTAACGACAGACTGTAGAAAAGAATGTGGTGTTTCTTTAGTTTATTTTGATTCATTATCAGAGAGATATTTAAAAGAGTCAGAGTTAAATAAGAAAAGACGAGTTACCTTTTTTTTAAAGAGTTCCCCTTTGATGTTACTTCCTGTTTCATTTGGACTGAGCCAAGTTCAAAAGGAAATCAGACAGTTATGTGACCAAATGGGTAAAATTGTGTGCATCATGCCAGGTTTCATAAATAAAAAAAAAYGTTTTATGTGATATTTTGTGTATGATAAGCATGGCCCAGGCACTTTATCTCAAGAATCCTGAATGCAACAATAAAACAATTATGTCCAAATCATTGGACTTATTTTCTTTAACTTTATCTGTTTCCACAGGTAAACAAACGCATGTGGCAGTTTACAGCCATTCATAAATTTTGTTATGCTTTAAGGATGTAATAGCAATCGATTGGGGAAAAAAAGTGCATATTTTTAATGTTTTGGCCATTTAATGACATTGCAACATGTAAAATGAATGTAAAATGAAACGATATTTAATCTAAAGGTCTTTGAATCTGAAGAATGATGCAGCAATCTGGTCGAACATTTCCCCATCTGTCCCAGATAGTCACACACAGTTGGACAAATAGTTAAAAAAAAAAAGAAAACATTGACAGCTGATTATTTGAAAAACAACATGCATTTGGCTCTAGCTAAAAACAAATCTTGTTTTTTTTAGCCTCCTGCAGTCAAGAAAAATAAAAAGACAAAAATGTAGAAAAGTATTTGTGGAACATTTTCTGTAAAATAAGAAAAAACTTTCAACTTGCAAGAAAAAATATTTTTTGTATGATGTGTGTGATGTGTGTGTGCAGTCGCTCCTCCACATTTGTCTTATTTTTAACATCAATCGACCTAATTTCCTGCAAGTAACTTGCCATGAGAAATGAAAAGGGACGACGTCTGCCCTCGCAGTGTAGGAGTGTTTGTGTTCCACTGAGTTCAACCTACCATTAAATTACCTTCCCAGCTCGCCATCATCCCCTGCCAATCCAACCCTTCGCTCCAGCGTTACGTAACAACAACGCCTGGCACGTGCTCGCMCAAACGTTTGCCCTTCGTCTTTTGAAGGTTTCGAGGCCGGGCCTGGTTGTTGTCTGTCAATTTTCTTTCTCATTTTGTTACAACTGGGCCATTTCCAAGAGGCGAGTCGGTGTTTGTGCAGGCCTGTTCTGTATAAACATAACTTGTGTAACAGCTTTAGGTAACAGGCACTCATGAATGTTTATGTGACAAATGGATTTCCTTTTATGCTGTTTTTAAACAATAAGTAAAGTGTGAGTGTTAATTAATGACACTGAGTTTAAATGTGATCAATAGTAGCATTAAAATAGTGTGTTTGTAAACACTAGGTCTAAATGGGTATCTAATAGAGTAATAATGGGTTTTTAAAAGACTAATGCTTACTGTTGCAATGTGCGTGTTTCTCATTACGTAATGCAGTGACCTAATCGTTTTTGTCTGTGTGTCCTCAGACCCAGACAACCGGAGTTTGAAGCTTTGCAGGGCCGAAGCTAACCTGGGCCTGCTGCGCTTCACTGACGCTCTGACGGACCTCGACTACCTCTGCTGCCTTCACCCCACCTGGACAGAAGTGAGAAACGAGCAGGTTTTAGACCCACCGGGCCTCGCTGTTCGGTTTCAGTCTCATTACAACTTTATTGCAGTTTTATGAGGCTGCCTCTGTACAAAGTGTGAATTGTTTTTGATCATCTGAGTAGAGGAGTTTGATTAAACCATGCGGCTTCCACCATAAAGGAGATTCTGTAATAGCCTATATGCCACGRACATCYGGMGCAGCACTTKATGCCACTCCCAACACTTCCGGTTCACGGTCAACACAGTGTTAGCGAAAGATTTTTTCACCCGACAACGACTCTTAATGATCTCCACAGTACAGAATTAG